AACCATAAAACTTCCCTCTGTATCAATAAAAACTGCTTCACCTGCCACTCCTCCAAAACATTCTGGTATCTGCACATCTACTGCCAACTGCATACTGTCAAGAGAAAGATGGCAAATAACTAAATCATCATGATCATCCAAGGCAGTGTATTTGAAACTCCAGATAATGACAAGTTAGGTATCATTAAAGTTTTATAAATCCAAATATACTCCCAAGGCAACAGAAACGTCTAACTCTTCATGGCTCCAGATGTAAGTGAACCAATTGACTATATGTGAATCAACTGGATTGGGGGGAGGACATGCCTATAAAATCAAGATTAAGGATATTTTAATAATTTCCAGGCCTCTAGAAATGGAGCCCCTTATTATACATAAATCTACTTTCTATTTTTGCTTTTTTTTGAGACAGAGTCTTACTCTGTCACCAAAGCTGGAGTGCAGTGGCACGATCTCAGCTCAATGCAACCTCCATGCCACATTTCCTTGCCTCCACCATGGCCTATTAGGTGAAGCCTCAGAGTCATTAATAGGAATGATCTCGAGTGGGTGTAGTGACAGTAACAAGCACACACTGGCCAGTTACCTTTTTTTTTTTGGTGTGAAAAACTCAGGCAACAATCATTTGGATTAGTCTGCATGCTCATTGTAGAGTTGCAGCCTTTTGGCTCTTCTCACTGGCTGTCCCCCTTTTGTAATCTCCCTCACTTTTCAGGCGAGGGATTGTAGGCCAGCCCCCAGTGGCCCCTGGGAGACATCAGTCCCCATTTCCCACACCCACCCATGCCTTCCTGGGAGCTGAGTCTTGAGCATGGAGGTTTCTGAGACTGTTATTTCTTCATGGCCTGCCTAGCTTAAGAAGTAGCTGGAAAAGTAAGCAACTAATTTTCCCATTAGTGGGTCTGGGCTCCTGGGGTCCTGAGGGGGAGGAGCTAGGCTACACAAGAGCTCCTTTTGTAGTTCCCAGGTTCAAGCCATTATTCTGCCTCAGCCTCCTGAGTAGCTGGGACTATGTGCCACCATGCCTGGCTATTTTTTTTTTTGTATTTTTAGTAAAGACAGGGTTTCGCCATGTTGGCCACGCTGGTCTCGAACCTTTGACCTCAGGTGATCTGCCCGCCTCAGGCTCCCAAAGTGCTGGGATTATAAGCTTGAGCAACAGCACCTGGCCTCTTTTCTTTTTTGATATAGGGGTCTCATTCTCCTGCCCAGACAGGAATGCAGTGGTGCAATCAAGGCTCACTGCAGTTTCGACCTCTCCGGCTCAAGCAATCCTCCTGCCTCAGCCTCCCAAACAGCTAGGACCATAAGCATGTGCCCCCACACCCAGCTAATTTTTCATTTTTAGTAGAGATGAGGTCTCACTGTTTCCCAGGCGGGCCTCAACCTCCTGGGCTCAAACGATCCTCCTGCCTCAACCTCCCAAAGTGCTGGGATTATAGGCATGAGCCACTGCACCTAGCCATAAATCTACTTTCAAACATCTGACTTTCAAATATAGTCTCAGGAATGAATGAAGCAGAAACTTCCTGTTTAACCTTATGACTACACTACAATTTGCAAAAGAAACATTTTTTCATATCAAAATAATTGTATCAATTTATCAAGAAGGGATACTGAAGTAACACAAATAGTAAGTTAATTTTTGTTTGATGTACAGGCACACTTAAAATTAAGAGCACATATATACCTTACTTGGTTTTCTGACTATAAACCGACAGTACAAAATATTACTTTCATAATGTTATTAAACCCGCCCTTATAAGGAGAACATTTTATTTTACCATAATTGTGTTTTTCCAATGCCTGGTGCACCACAAATTTCTGTCGTTTTCATTAAGGGTACTCCACCCCCAAGAATATTATCTAGTGCTGAACAGAAGGTAATTATGGAGCCCTGGGTATGCTCCTGTTCAAGAAGTTCCAGTGCTGTACACTTATTTCCTGACTCAGATGTACCAGCATATCTTGGTTTATTTGTGAGACATTCTCTTCTTATAATTTGCAGAGTTTCTAAGGCTTCCTCTTTAGATATCCCAACTTCTGAAAATAAAATAAGAAAAAAAGAACCCTAATTTTAGAGATTTATAACAGTGTAACATGATAATGGATTGTCTTGATTAATTTTAATTTTTAGACAAGAGTGATGCTAAGAGCAGAGAAAGATAAAAATGTAACATTCTAACAACCATTTAATTTCTCAGTTTGGCTGGACACTGTGGCTAACATCTGTAATCCCAGCATTTTGGGAGGCCAAGGTGGGCAGATCACGAGGTCTGGAGTTCAAGACCACCCTGGCCAATGTGGTGAAGCCCCATCTCTACTAAAAATACAAAAATTAGCCAGGTGTGGTGGCACATGCCTGTAATTCCAGCTATTCCCTGGGAGGCTGAGGCAGGGAGAATCTCTTGCGTGCCTGTAATCCCAGCTACTCAAGGAGACTGAGGCAGGAAAATTGCTTGAACCCAGGAGGTGGAGGTTGCAGTGAGCTGAGATCGCACCATTGCACTCCAGCCTGGGTGACAGAGTAAGATTCCATTTCAAAAAAAAAAAAAAAAATTCAGATTAATAAAGGAATTTGTTTTCTTAGTCATCACTTAAAGATTTTCCTATTATCTCAGAAATGATTCAACTAAAGCATTTCGGAGTACCTACAAGAATGTCTCAGGAAGCAGAAATAAAAATGTACTCACTATTTTTTTTTTCTTTTTTTGAGATGGTGTTTTGCTCTTGTTGTCTAGGCGTGATCTCGGCTCACCGCAACCTCTGCCTCCCAAGTTCAAGCAACTCTCCTGCCTCAGCCTCCCGAGTAGCTGGGATTACAGGCATGCACCACCACGCCCCACTAATTTTTTGTATTTTTAGTAGAGAGGGGGTTTCTCTATGTTGGCCAGACTGGTCTCTAACTCCTGACCTCAGGTGATCCGCCCACCTTAGCCTTCCAAAGTGCTGGGATTACAGGCCTAGGTCACTGCGCCTGGGCTTGCTTTCTTTCTTTTTTGAAGACAGACTCTCACTCTGTCTCCCAGGCTGGAGTGATGGCTCCATCTAAGGTAACTGCAACCTCCACCTCCAGGGTTCAAGCAATTCTCCTGCCTCAGTCTCCTTGAGTAGCTGAGATTACAGGCGCGCACCACCACGCCCAACTAATTTTTGTATTTTTAGTGGAGACAGGGTTTCACCATGTTGGTCAGGCTGGTCTCCAACGCCTGACCTCATGATTTGCCCACCTCAGCCTCCCAAACTGCTGGTATTACAGGCATGAGCCACTGCACCCAGCCAAAATGTACTCACTATTAGCACATTTTTACTATCTCTTTTGGTCTTATGAAGCCATAATTATCTCGTACTCATAAAGTATACAAATTATTTTTCAGATGAGAATGAAAAATTCTCATTTTTTAACTGCCTGAAATAAGGTACAACTTTAAGAAGCACATATGCATGTATTACTTACAATAAAAAGTTTTCATGGAAATAACTAATGTAAAAAAAATTCATATATCACTCCAAACTAATAAGAATAATTATCCAATGCACAAGTATTTTAAAGAATTCACTTATGCTCCCTTGAGTACGCAATTTCACCTGTCTGACAGCATGGCCTGAGAAGAGAAAATGGCAGTTACAAAACAAGCTGGCTGAAGAAATAATGGTGAAAATGACATAGCTTATCAGTTTAATATATTGGTGCTTGATTTGATAAGAATATGAGCCATAAATATGGGGCTAATAAAAGACAATGGTGATGACAACATTTAGGAAATGAAAATCTTATCCAGTTCAAGAGCCTGAATGCTGGAATCAGATTGCCTGGGTTTGTAAATTCTGACACCACTTATGGTGTGACTTTGGGCAAGTTACTTCCCTTCTTTTTGCTGAAATTTTTTCTTCTATAAAACAGGAATGGGGAGAGAGATCCAAGATGGCCGATTACTAGCAGCTCAGGATTGTAGCTCCCAGTGAAAGCGCAGAGAACGAGAGGACACCACACTTTCAGACGAATTTTTGTTGCTCACGGACCAGGAGATTCCCAGTGAGGGAGCCCCACGGGTCGCCAGCGTTGATTCCTGTGGCCGGCGCAGCAGTTCTCGATGCAGTGTAAACGGGACTGGGTCCCCTTTTGGTAACGTTTGGAGCTCCGGGAGGGCAGAGTCGCCTATTCAGCTGATTGAAAAAGGGACTCAAGAGGGAAGCCAGACCGGAGATTCCTGGGCAGAAAAGCACCAAGAATCTTAACGCCGCTGTTTTAGCCGGTGCAGTGAGTTGCTCAGATTTCTGCGCTGGGGATCAACAAGTTGGACGTCCACTTAGAGACCTAATTTGAAAGTCGGTAATTACAAAGATGACAGGTGGATAAATTGCCAATGACGGGAAGAAACCAGTGTAAAAAGGCTGAGAATACTCAAAATCAGAATGCCTCTCCCTCTACAGGGGATCACAGTTCCTCATCAACAAAGGAACAAGGCCT